AATTGCCCACCTGCAAAGGTTTCCCAGTCTGTTATTTTGTGTTGGCTTTGCAGGCTCACATAGTTTGGTTCAGCTCTTTGGGCTTATAAAAATGTCTCAGCTCAACCTACCTCACAAGGTTGTTATTGTGAGTATAAGGTGAAGGGTGGAAGAACAATGTGATAAGCCTTCTTTGGGTTCTGATTACCAGACGACCAGTTGTCTAGCTTATTTGAAATCATACACTAGGAGAGGAGGTCATTAAAAAGCAAGGTTGAGGGATCAGGAATGCAGAAAAATGAATAATATTCCAGAACTAAGAGTCAGATTGCTGATCAGACAAGACTCCTTAGCCTTGCTTGAAGTTCCAGTTGCAGAGAGAGTGGCCTGAGAGGGATGCTGTCTGACCAGAACAGCTGGCCAATCTTCTCACCAAACAAGTTCAACTCAATAAGCAGGGATCAGGACTTACTGATGGAAGACTGGCTGATATGTAGGTGGTGATAGCTTGGTACCTGGGGCACAAGAAATGGGTTAAGGTTAAGGAGCAGTAGTTTACTTTATACAATGGGTGGGAGGATACCTAGTGAAAAACTATACAAAATTGCCCAACTGCAAAGGTTTCCCAGTCTGTTATTTTGTGTTGGCTTTGCAGGCTCACAAAGTTTGGTTCGGCAGGTATGGAAGATCTGTTTGCAGGGTTCGTTATTCTATGAGAAAGGCATCAATGCTGGGACATTGATGCAAGAGCCAGTTTGGTGTAGTGGTTAAGTGTGCCGACTCTAATCTGGGAGAACCGGGTTTGATTCCCCACTCCTCCACTTGCACCTGCTGATGTGACCTTGGGTCAGTCACAAGCTCTGGCACAGCTGTCCTTGAAAAAGAGCAGTTTGTGTCAGAGCTCTCTCAGCCCCACCCACCTCACAGGGTGTCTGTTGTGGGGAGGGGAAGGGAAAGGAGTTTGTAAGACTGGGGTAGAATCCATAGAAGTACATATTGCATTATTATTCAACTAAGTGTGTCCATAGGTTTGTTGGTGTTGCACAGAAGACAGAGGGGGTTCTGACATTCAAACCCCAAAATAACTGGGTTCCACAATGAGAAATGTATGATCAGGGATCCTTGGTTGAAATGGAGCAACAGACATGCAGTGGGAGGTCCCTATGAATAGATAAAGCATGCGATATTGGCATAGTTATTTATCATTAGAAAGATAGTGATATAATTCTGACACTGCAGATTTTTTACATCCAGTTTAATAGTCTTCCAGGACACAGAATAGAAACAGCACATCTTCAGGCTTCCCAGTACAGTCTTTGGCATGAATACAAATCTTTCAGATAGATACACAGTGCTACACATTTTTGAGGACTATAGCGATCAACACTCCCTAGACACTTGTTGTAAGATTTTGTAAAGGCTAAATGTACTGGATGTAGGGATATGGGGGCATCCCCATTTCCAACATCCTAGGTGTCTCGCAGTCCAAATATGCTGGTTAATATTGGAACACCCTACCCCAGTATCTACTTTACTTTCTTTTAGGCATCATTTGATATTGTATTTTTTACTTGTAAGCTGCCTCAAGAAAGACTCTGAAGAGACAGCATAGAAATATTCTAAATAAACAAAATAAATGAATGAATTAAGTCCTGCATATCTCAAGCAGATCCAGTTCATCTCAGATGAAGTTTTCCAAACATTTTTCACTTTGGCCCCAGTGGGCTGGTTCATGTCAATCCAGAGCTTTGGTGTACAAATGAGTATAGAACCTGTCCTTTGCTTAGATGTCAGATCTGGTAGATGACAACCTCCTTATCCTCAAAAGACTGCCCAAGTTGTTCCACATGCACAGAGTAGTTGACCAACAGTTAATTGAGCATCAGTAGTATCTTTCAAGCAACTGACAACAAAGCAACTGCTAACTGGGGCAAGAACATAAGTAGAGCCCTGCTGGATCAGACCAATGGTCCATCTAGTTCAACATCCTGTCTCACACAGCCACCAACGAGTTCCTCTGGAGGGACAACAGAGGCTGACTTCCCCTGATGTTGCCTCCTAGTGGTAGTATTCAGAAGTTTTCGATCTCTGAATAAGGAGGTTCCCTTTAGTTACCGTGGCTAGTAGTCCCTGATATACCTGCCTTCCGTGGATCTGTCTAATCTCCTTTTAAAGCTGTCTATGCCTGTGGCCATTACAATATCCTCTTGCAGTGGATTCTGCATTTTAATCACTTGCTGTGTAAAGAAGCATTTCCTTTTGTCTGCTCTGAATCTATTGCCCATCAGCTTCATTGGATGCCTTTGAGTTCTAGTATTTTTGGAGAGGGAGAAAAATTTCCCTTTGTCAACTGTCTCCAACCTGTGCATAATTTCATGTACTTCTATCATGTCCCCCATTAGCTGTCTCTTCTCTAAGAGAAGTCCCAGACTCTTCTGCCTTTCCTCAAAAGGAAGGTGCTCCCACTCCCTAATTATCTTGCCCTCATCTGCACTTTTTCCAGCTCTGTGATTTCCTTTTGAGATATGGTGACCAGAATTGCACAGTATTCCAAGTGAGGCTGTACCATAGATCTGAACAGGGGCACTGTAATGCCAGCCATTTTATTTTCAGTCCCTTTCCTAATAATCCCTGGCACAGAGTTTGCCTTTTTCACTGCTGCAGCACATTGGGTTGACACTTTCATTAAGCTATCTACTACAGCCCCAAGATCTTTTCCCCTCTTGGTCTCAACAAGTTCAGACCGCATTAGCCTGTATCATTCGAGTTGCCCTTTTCTGCACTTTTTCCAAAGCTATAATATACTTTTTAAGGTGTGGTGACCAGAACTGCACACAGTATTCCAAATGAGGTCACACCATTGATTTATATATGGGCATTATGATATTGGCTGATCTGTTTTCAATACCCTTCCTAATAATCCCCAGCATAGCATTGGCCTTCTTTATTGCAGTCACACACTGTCTCGACATTTTCAGTGAGTTATCCACTACAACTCCAAGATCTCTCTCTTGCTCAGTCTCTGCCAGTTCAGACCCCATCAATGTGTATTTATATTTAGGATTTTTGGCTCCAATGTGCATCACCTTGCACTTGGCCACATTGAACCCCATTTGCCATGTTGACGCCCACTCGCCCATCCTTGACAGATCCCCTTGGAGTGCCTCACAATCCTCACTGGTTTTCACCACCCTGAACAACTTTGTATCATCCGCAAATTTAGCCACTTCACTGCTTACTCCCATCTCCAAATCATTAATGAACAAGTTAAAAAGCAGTGGACCAAGTACTGATCCCTGCGGTACCCCACTGCTTACCACCCTCCACTGAGAAAATTGCCCACCTACACTCACTCTCTGTTTTCTATGAACTAGCCAGTTTTTGATCCATAAAAGGACTTGTCCTTCTATCCCATGATTTTTGAGCTTACTTAGGAGCCTTTGATGAGGAACTTTATCAAAAGCTTTCTGGAAGTCAAGGTAAATAATATCTATTGGATCCCCCTTGTCCACATGTTTGTTCACCCCCTCAAAGAACACTAACAGGTTAGTGAGACAAGATCTTCCCTTACAGAAACCGTGCTGAGTCTGCCTCAATAGGTTTTGTTCATCTATGTGCCTACTAATTCTTTCCTTAATAATGGTTTCCACCAATTTACCCGGTATCGACGTCAGACTGACTGGCCTGTAATTTCCCGGATCTCCTCTGGAACCCTTTTTAAAGATGGGAGTGACATTTGCTACCTTCCAATCCTCAGGAATGGAGGCAGATTTTAAGGAAAGATTACATATCTTTGTCAGGAGATCTACAAGTTCACATTTGAGTTCTTTCAGAACTCTCGGATGTATGCCATCTGGGCCTGGTGATTTTTCAGTTTTTAAGTTGTCTATCAGTTTTAGGACCTCCTCTCTCGTCACCTCAATCTGACTCAGGTCTTCCAACACCCCTCCTGAAATCAGTGGTTCTGGAGTGGGCAAGCACTTCTCATCTTCCACAGTGAAGACGGAGGCAAAAAATGCATTTAGCTTCTCAGCCATTTCCCTATCATCCTTCAATACTCCTTTTACCCCTTGGTCGTCCAAGGGCCCCACTGCCTCCCTGGCTGGTTTCCTGTTTCTAATGTATTTGAAGAAAGTTTTATTGTTGGTTTTTACGTTTTTTGCTATATGCTCCTCATATTCCCTTTTTGCCTGCCTGACCTCAGACTTGCATTTTATTTGCCATAGCCTGTGTTCCGTTTTATCAGCCTCACTGTGACTAGCTTTCCACTGCTTAAAGGAATTCTTTTTACTTTTTACAGCTTCCATTACTCTGTTTCTTAACTATGCAGGCTTTTCCCTATACCTGTTTGTGCCTTTCCTAACCTGCGGAATATTTTTTTTTGAGCTTCTAGGATCGTAGTTTTAAATAGTTTCCAAGCTTCCCCAATGGTTTTGACCCTTTCTACTTTTCCTTTCAGTTTCCTCCCCACATGTCCCCTCATATCAGAGAAATTACCCCTTTTAAAGTTAAAAGTGGTTGTGTGAGTCTTTTTGGCCAATTCCCTATTTATACAAATGTTGAACTCAACAACATTATGATCACTGTTCCCAAGCGGTGCAATCGCTTTTACATCTCTCACCAGGTCTTGAGTGTTACTTAGGACCAAACCTCTTAGCTGCAGCCAGTGTGGTTAGAATTTTGAACTAAGACTTGAGAGATCAGTATCCAAACCCCTACTGTGTCATGATCAAACTGACTAGTCTGGTCATTCTGATCTTTCACCCTAATCTACCTTGCAGTGTTGTTGTGAGAATCAAATAGGGAGGACCATGTACATTTCCTTTGATCTCCTTATGGAAAGGGCAAGATAAAAATCTAATAGAACAACAATACATTTGCATACTGTGAATATGGAAATCCATAACAGAATGTGCAATTTTGGCAAGAAAACCTAACAGTGTGAACTCTACCCATAAATTATCAAAGTTGGACAGCTTTCTTTCAGAAAATCTAGAATCCACTTCAAGCAAGAGTTTTACCTTGATACCATCTGTTTCATAATTATCTGTGTCATCTAAAAAAGAAAAAAAGCATGTTTAGACTTGTAACAATGTGCATGTTTAGAGACAAGGTAGATAACAAAAATGGCTACTTATTCAAACATTCCATTGTCATTGTGAAGTGGTTCCAATGCAGATAAAGATGGATGGGGAGGGGGACCAGATGGGTTTTGAACCTTCTGAACAGTTAGGACATAAATACCTGAGAGCTGTTCCAGAACATGCCTGCCAGGAGAACTTCTCAAACTCACAAGCTGGTACACATAATTAGAAGAGCAATGTAGTAAAATGGCCCTTCCAGGCACTTCTGTTCTGCCACAGGTGCTGCTGAATTTACTGAATACACTGCTAGACAAGATCTCAGCTTACTGGACCTCAATGAGGAGTTAACATCTCTAGCCTTATTCTATCGCTCAAAATAGTGTGCCCATTTCCACACATTAAACCTCTATTAAAGGTACAGGACATTTTTCTCCAGGCCTGTTAGCATAAATAGCTATATTTTTATAACTTTATTTTTATTTCCAAATTTTCAACATTTACAACTCAAAAAATTAAAAATAAAGTATAAACATTATACTTTATACAGTGTTACAAAGTCATAATATTCAAGATAAATCATTTGGTAACAATGTAACCAATCAATAAAAAAGAAAGTCTGTCTATTTAGCAGGTAAAGCGTTGGCATTATTAGGTGTTGAAGTAATATGTGAAAAAAAATGAAAACCATTTTTCCACATATACAGAGTTTTTAGAAGGATTTTCAGCTATATTTTTCTTAGTCTTATTTCAGCCCCCTACAATATGTGGAATATGACTGTGAGGATGTAGTTAGAAGACTATCAAGTTGATTAAAGACAGGATAGCAATGTCACACATGACACTAAAAGTTCTGTTAATGTGTTGCCCATGTCTATGATATGAATGTAACTGATGTGCAGTTACAATGGCTTTTTCCTGCTTTCTGTTTCATATTAGCCACATTTAGACTTGCACATCTGGGGAATGGGGAACCCTCAGGTACTGCATGGTGGGGTTAGTTAATACGGTCAATGACCGGCACAAATCACGATATATAATACACAGTATGCCAAAATTATAAATAAATCAAGAATAATCCAATAAATAAATAGATGGGCTATATAAAATGACTTAACATCGATAATTACAGATTAAAATAAATATCGTATCAAAATTGGCATACTGCATAGGACATCTTTGTGAATTTTACAGGCAGCTGGAAAAAAAAACACGTGCAGAAGAAGCTGTAGTCTGCAAATTGGTGCCCATAATAAGCTTCTTTAAAAACACAGAGTCAGAGCAGCCCAGGAACCTTCTGTGCAGAGGGAGAATAAACTTAGCATGAATTTCCTGATAGAACCAGCAGGAGAACATAACATATTCGTTTCAACAACACCGACAACACATGGACAAACCTCCTCTAACAGAAGTCTTTCTATATCTCCCCTACAACACTGCAGAGGGGAGTACATGCCACCTGGCTAGAGAAAATGCTCTGCGATGGGCAGGAGACTCTAGAGACGAAAGAGGCTGCTGGAGCTACAATATATTTGGTGTTGTCCAAAGCCAAAAAATCTGGTGTTCTTCTAATATCACATTGCTGTTCAGTATCTAGCACCCTCTGCTTAATGGTTGCAATTGCCTGATCAAATCCCAATACTAGGAGGGTCTGTGGAGAAAGAGTTGTCAACTTATGATGAGCCACAGTTAGCCAGGAGAATCGAAAGACAGGAATGTTAGGTGAGATCCTAACTAATATACACAAGATTAACAAATCAACAAACATAATTTCTGAAGGTCATTAATTTTTCTGTTCAAATTACTTAGCATAACTATTCTAAAGGATGTGGTCGGTTAGGTTTGGATTCCAAAAGCAGAACTCTACAGATCAGTGGGTGGGCTCCAGACTAACTTGGCAATGTCCACTAATTTTCCCTTCCCATGCAGACCCCCTCATGTTGTTCCTGAAGGTCCCATATCCCCCAGGAGGGGCATTTTGTGGAGGTCATTTTACTATAGTGGGAGTGGAGAGGAAGGAAATTTCTGTTCCACTGTTATAAAATTTAGTGTGATTTTGAAACTTCCTCCAGGATACTTTTTATTGATATGTAGATTCACTATGATCAGACAGACTATATTGTTATGAAAAATGTCTTTCTCTCAGAATGCTTTGTTTGCAGAATACTTCATACACAAGATAGATTCAAGTGGGCAGCCCCGTTGATCTGAAGCAGCAGAACAAAGTTTGAGTCCAGTGTTACCTTTAAGACCAACAAAGTTTTATTGAAGGCATAAGCTTTCATGTGCACTGTATCTGAAGAAGTGTGCATGCACACAAAAGCTTATACCTTGAATAAAAATGTGTTGGTCTTAAAGGTAACACTGGACTCAAACTTTGTTCTTCATACACAAGGAATAGTTTAATTTTCATATCTAGTTTGTGTATGGGGTACATACCTTAGAGACTGCGATCATGTTGCAATTGATGAGATCCTGTTGAGAATAAAAAGCAGAAGGGTTGCATACACAGTGAAGCCAAGATTCTGTTTTATGTAGACTTGGTATAGGAGAATGTGTTGCAGTCTGCGGTATGTAAGCAGATGGACATAGGAAAATACTGATAGAGCTGCCCTACCATTAGGCAGGCTGTGACAGCCCAGCTCAAATAAGAGTCTAGGCCTTAGAGTGTCATTACAGGACAGCAATTTGTCAATTAATTACAGTATTATGCTACTGTTATCACAATGGGCCATGCCATTTGGGTTTTCTGCCTTTCTTGGGCTAACTTTGTACCCACATTACGATTTTTTAAAGTTTTACAAAACTAACCCTGACATAAAGAATATTAACCGGAGTCATCTACAAGGCTAAGATGCACAGAGGTGTGGCCCATTAAGTTTGTCACCCTCCCCACCCTTGTATGGAATTCACAAACACATGCATATGCACACTCAGACACATTTGAACTCTCTCCTGGAGCATGCTCCAATGGTCCCAGCTAGCAGGGCTAAAAGGAGTGCAAGAGTCTTATGCTCTGCTGCCCACCCAAGTTTCTCCCCTCTTAGGAAATAGAAGGTTGGTTCAGAAGCCTCTGTGATGGTGCAGTACTCCATGGGACAATCTTCTATTTCCTGTAGGATAGGTACTGCAGATAAGTACTTGAAGATGTGATGGATGGTTGGTACAGAAAGTAAGGCACTGTTCACATGAAAAAGAAAGCTATTCACTGAGATAACTGAATTTGTTTTGTTGCATTCAATATAAAAGCTTGTCAGTTATAAATATGGACATAATTCTACTACATCTCCTTCCCTTCCTTCATGCTCGTGGGAGTTTTTAATGGATTTTATGGAGAGAGAGCATGAGATTTGTTTAAAGCAATTTTGTCAACTGCCTCCAGATATCATGCCAAAATGTGATTAAGCAAATGCGTGGAGAGGAAGGAAATTTCTGTTCCACTGTTATAAAATTTAGTGTGATTTTGAAACTTCCTCCAGGATACTTTTTATTGATATGTAGATTCACTATGATCAGACAGACTATATTGTTATGAAAAATGTCTTTCTCTCAGAATGCTTTGTTTGCAGAATACTTCATACACAAGATAGATTCAAGTGGGCAGCCCCGTTGATCTGAAGCAGCAGAACAAAGTTTGAGTCCAGTGTTACCTTTAAGACCAACGAAGTTTTATTGAAGGCATAAGCTTTCATGTGCACTGTATCTGAAGAAGTGTGCATGCACACAAAAGCTTATACCTTGAATAAAAATGTGTTGGTCTTAAAGGTAACACTGGACTCAAACTTTGTTCTTCATACACAAGGAATAGTTTAATTTTCATATATAATTTGTGTATGTGGTACATACCTTAGAGACTGCGATCATGTTGCAATTGATGAGATCCTGTTGAGAATAAAAAGCAGAAGGGTTGCATACACAGTGAAGCCAAGATTCTGTTTTATATAGACTTGGTATAGGAGAATGTGTTGCAGTCTGCGGTATGTAAGCAGATGGACATAGGAAAATACTGATAGAGCTGCCCTACCATTAGGCAGGCTGTGACAGCCCAGCTCAAATAAGAGTCTAGGCCTTAGAGTGTCATTACAGGACAGCAATTTGTCAATTAATTACAGTATTATGCTACTGTTATCACAATGGGCTGTGCCATTTGGGTTTTTTGCCTTTCTCGGGCTAACTTTGTACCCACATTATGATTTTTTAAAGTTTTACAAAACTAACCCTGACATAAAGAATATTAACCGGAGTCATCTACAAGGCTAAGATGCACAGAGGTGTGGCCCATTAAGTTTGTCACCCTCCCCACCCTTGTATGGAATTCACAAACACATGCATATGCACACTCAGACACATTTGAACTCTCTCCTGGAGCATGCGCATATGCACACTCAGACACATTTGAACTATCTCCAATGGTCCCAGCTAGCAGGGCTAAAAGGAGTGCAAGAGTCTTATGCTCTGCTGCCCACCCAAGTTTCTCCCCTCTTAGGAAATAGAAGGTTGGTTCAGAAGCCTCTGTGATGGTGCAGTACTCCATGGGACAATCTTCTATTTCCTGTAGGATAGGTACTGCAGATAAGTACTTGAAGATGTGATGGATGGTTGGTACAGAAAGTAAGGCACTGTTCACATGAAAAAGAAAGCTATTCACTGAGATAACTGAATTTGTTTTGTTGCATTCAATATAAAAGCTTGTCAGTTATAAATATGGACATAATTCTACTACATCTCCTTCCCTTCCTTCATGCTCGTGGGAGTTTTTAATGGATTTTATGGAGAGAGAGCATGAGATTTGTTTAAAGCAATTTTGTCAACTGCCTCCAGATATCATGCCAAAATGTGATTAAGCAAATGCTTTCTGGGAACTGTACATGAACACAGCTTGCTCCTCCCATCTCCCTCTTCCTCTCATCCATTGAACTTCAATGGATTTCTTCCCAGTTTGACCAAACTGCAGTTCGCTATGACATCTGGAGACGGGTGCCTTGGCAAACTGAAGTTTGTTCCTCCTCCATAAACCAGGTATTATAAACCTCAATTCAATCACAGTTTAGAACCCTGTTTTGGGGAGAGTAAACAAACTCCAACTTGTCAAGGGCCTTGCATTTGGAAGTCATGTCAAATTGGACCTTGGTCAAACCAGAAAGATGTTACAAGAAGGGGTGGTGGTGGAATGAGGTGAGCATGTGAGCACAGGACACAAGTTGTGTTCATGTTGACGCTGACAAACTTTTGTGTAATCAGTTTCTCATGACATCTGAATGCAGCTCATATGGTTTACAAGGATACAAAAAGATTAAGACATTTGACCAGTTAAAAGAAATTGAGTGGAAACTTACCAGATGAAAGTTCACATCAAATAAAACTTAATCAGAAAGCCGTTAATTGAGGTCCTAATTTTAACAGCTCATTTAGGAAAAAGGCTGTACTCTTACATATTTAGGTAGACATGCCTAATTTAGGAAAAAGGCTGTACTCTTACATACTTAGGTGTTTCATATGAAAGGGAAGTGTAGTTACTTTTAAGAATGTATACTATTGTACGCCAATCTTTACCTCATCTTTCTTTGATCCATCAAGGAAACAACAAGGATAGGTGTTATGAAGCATTCCGACATTGTTAACTAATAAAAGGAAACACAATAAGTAGCACAATTAGATGATATAACTATTTAAAACTGGGTTATTTGGAGGATACAGCAGTTGCTGAAGGTATTTTTACATCAGACAAGTCTAGCCTCAGATCAGTCATATACAGGGCTAATGAGATCCTGTTTGATAAATTACAAAGTCAACAAGCACGAGATGAGGTAATTTGCCTCAATGATTTGTAGAGGTAATTCAAGATGGATCTCCCTCAAATTCCAGCATGATCCTGCTTCTTGGTGCAACTGTTGGTCCAACTGTTGACCAAAATGAGCTGATTTTTGAGGCATGCCAAACTCATATAGGACTTTGATTGATGTGTGGGTTGACTGAATAGTTCATAAGACTGAGGACTCATTCAGACAACTGTTTGAGCCCAGGCATCTGAATATTTTTATTCAGTGGCTGTAATCTGCCATTAAGAACATAAGAAGAACCCTGCTGGATCAGACTAGTGGTCTATCCAGTCCAGCCTCCTGTCTCATGTAGTGGCCAAAAACAAGGCATAGAGGCCAAGGCCTTCCCCTGATGTTGCCTCCCTGGCCCTGGGATTCAGAGGTTGAATGCCTCTGGAGGTTTCAGTTAGTCACCATGAATCTATCTTATCCCCTTTTAAAGCTGTCTATGCCTGTGGTCATCATGACATCATCTGGCAGCATTATCTATTACATACTGCTTACATCTTCCTAGAGTGTTTTGCACATATAAAATAATTCACAGTTATGGCTTCCTGATAAATTACAGTGATTTTCAAAAATTATATGCAGAGAATGCAACATTCATCATTGCTATCTAAAAGACATCCTTGAAAGGTATTCTTGAATAACTTACCCAAAATTCCAATTTCTAAACCTTGAAGTCTTTCTTCAATATCATCATATATGTCATTTTTAGTGAAATCAGCTTGTATAATTTTCACATTTCTTCCTGTGGCTTTCTCTGTTTTTGGAAAAAGGAAAAAAAAAAGTGCATGTGCGCCTACCAAAACAGGTGGTTGCTCTTGGCACACTAGCACACTGTGCCAGGGCAGGAATTCTTGCATTGAATTCTAGCTAGCACATGGTTTATGCAGAAGACAAGTTTGTCTTGTGTTAAGGGGAAAAAAACACCAGAATTGTTCTTAATATCTGCAAAATTGTCCTCTGTATTCTATTTTTGTAACCATACCTTTTATTCCTTTTCACCTATTCCTTTTCTTTATTCTGTATTCCCTTAAAAGGGTGAAATAAAATTTATTTTAAAAAGGGGGGAAAACCTAAATAGCATTAAAAATAAAAATAAAAAGGTATACATAAACTGAATAATATTTCAAGCATGACTCCATAAACGTGCAGAGGAACATGGTTAGGAATGTCCACTGTATGCCCTCATGTTTAGAGATGTGTTTAAACGGAAATTGTTCTGGTTGAGAAACTGGGCTCTTGATAAGTAAAGGTAAAGGTTTCCCTTGCTCGAAAGCCAGTTGAATCTGACTCTAGGTGGCAGTGTTCATCTCCGTTTCCAAGCCAAAGAGCCAGCACGGTCTGAAGAGTTCTCCATGGTCATGTGGCCGGCATGACTAAACACCAAGGCGCACAGAAAGCTGTTTCCTTCCCACCGAAGTGGTACCTATTTATCTACTTGCAATTTCTTGCTTTCGAACTGCTAGGTTGGCAGGAGCTGGGGCCAGAGACGGGAGGTCACTCCGTCATACAGCACTCGGGTCTCGAACTGCCGAACTACCAACCTTCTGGTCTGCAACTCAACCTCTTGACCTCTGAGTCACCGCGACCCCTTTAGATAGAGGCCTTAAATAAACATAGCTCACATTTTAAAAAGACTTACCAATTTCAGAGGCTACCTTCTTCAGCTTTTCAAGTGTTCTACTGATCAGAACAGTATTTAATCCCCGCTTGGCCAGCTACAAAAACAAGTTTCAAACAAACAGAATTGAAAAATGTACAGAACTATCATAGAATCAGAGAATCACAGAGTTGGAAGGGGCCATACAGGCCATCTAGTCCAACCCCCTGCTCAGTGCAGGATCAGCCTAGAGCTTAAAGACTGCCAGTGAGGGGAAGCTGACCACCTCCCTAGGCAGCTGATTCCACTGTTGCACAACTCTTACTGTAAAAACGTTTTTCCTAAGATTTAGCCAGTATCTTCCCACCCTTAATTTAAACCCATTATTGCAAGTCCTATCCTCTGCTGCCAACAGGAACAGCTCCCTGCCCTCCTCTAAGCGACAGCCCTTCAAATACCTCAAGAGAGCAATCATGTCCCCCCTCAACCTCCTCATTTACAGACTAAACATTCCCGTGTCACTCAGCCTTTCCTCATAGGGCTTGGTCTCCGGGGGGCCCGATCATCCTCGTCACTGTCCTCTGCACCTGCTCCATTCTGTCCACATCCTTTTTGCAATCTGGATGTTATGCCTCTTTTGATACACCCCAAGATCACATTAGCCTTTTTTGTCACTGCACCACACTGGCTGCTCATATTTAACTTATGGTCCACCCATACCCCAAGATCTTGTTCACACACACTGCTACCCAGGAGTGTATCCCCCATCCAGTATGCATGTTCCTCATTTTTGTTACCCAGATGTAGAACTCGACACTTATCCTTGTTAAATTGCATCTTGTTTACATCCGTCCACTTTTCCAGTGTGTTCAGATTTCATTGAATCCTACCTTTATATTCTGGTATGTTCACTGCTCCTCCCAATTTGGCCCATCCACACTCTCATCCAGATCATTTATAAAAACATTGAACAGTACCAGATCCAGAACCGAGCCTTGTGGCACCCCACTGGACACCTCCCTCCATTCAGATGCAATGCCATTGACAACTACTCTCTGACCAGTTCCCTATCCACCTAACTACAGCCCTCTAACTACCTAACCACAGTCCTCTAGTTTACCCATCAGAACATCATGGGGAATCCTGTCAAAAGCTTTACTGAAATCCAGGTAAACAACATTAACAGGTGGGCCTCTGTTATTTGCTCTCCATTTA